ATTTTCTATGACTTTCTCTATTTTATGATCCCACCAGTTTTTGCTTACAGGCAAATGATATTTTTTGCAGATCTTCCAATGCACCATTGTTGCTACTTTGTCATGCCGCTGCTTGTAGTCAGTCTGTGCAATCTCCTTGCAACAGCTTACTAGGTGGTCCACTGTTTCTTCAGCTTCTTTGCATAGGCGGCACTTACTGTCTGTTGCTGTCTTCTCAATTTTGACTTTGTCTGCATTTGTCCTTAAGGCTTGGTCTTGTGCAGCCAGAATTAGTCCCTCGGTCTCTTTCTTCAATTTTCCTGCTCTTAGCCATTGCCAGGTTTTATTATTATCTGCTTTCCCAGCTATTTTTTCATGTATTGGCCATGTAGTGCTTTGTCTTCCCATGCCTCTATTCTGTTCTTCATTTGGTCTTTCTTGTAGGCCAGTTTGGTCTCTCCAGTAGTCAGTAAGCCTTCCTGATATACTAATTTCAGTGCATCTTCATCATTGTTCTTCAGATATTCTTCCAAAGCCATTTTTTCTTCTTCAACCATCTGATGTACTTGTAGCATTCCACGCCCACCTATTTGCCTTGGTAGATAAAGTCTATCAGTGTCACTGCGTGGATGAAGGGCATGATTCATTGTCATTATTTTTCTGGTCTGCCTATCCATTGCTTTAGTTCTGCTTGAGTCCAGTCCACTATTCCAGCTGTGTACCTAATAACTGGGATTGCCCAGGTGTTGATTGCCTTTATGGTATTTCCTCCATTGAGTTTGGATTTTAAGATCTTCTTCACTCTCTTGATGTATTCACCTCTAATCTTTTTCTTGACTTCAGTGTTCTTGATGTTGTCAGCTTGAAGGATACCCAAGTATTTGTAGTACTCTTCCTCATCCAGACTCTTAATGTTATTTTCGTGGGGCATCTCGATTCCTTCAGTTTTCACTATTTTTCCTTGTTTGATAGTAAGTGTGGCACATTTGTCCAAGCCAAACTCCATTACAATATCTTGGCTATTGTTGTTGTTGTTGTTGTTGTTGTTGTTATTATTATTATTATTACTATTATTATTATTATTATTATTATTATTACATGACAGAAGAGAAGTAAACATATAATTACAAAATTTCTACAGGGGCACAGCAGTGGCCTCATAACTGATGTCCAGTTCAGCTATCCTGGTGATTGCCTTTGGCGTTGCTTTGTGCAGATCTTCTAGGGAACCAGAGAACATACATCATAGGCAGTCTTGCACAATATGTTTAAGACTTTGCACATCAGCCCCACAATCGCAACAAAAGGAATCTTTCCATCCCCACTGATACATGGCAGAGGAACTTCTTCCATATCACATCTAATTCTGTTCAGTTTTGTCCATATAGAATAAGACAGGTGGTTTGGTAGAGAGATCACTATTGGTCAGGCCACAAGAAGGTAGCTTGGAGCAATCCTTTCTCTAAGAGTTCTCAGAGCTGAACTGGGTAGGTGATAAGTAAATAGCAGTTTTCTATGCTGGCCTACAGGATTTCAATCTTGTGATGGCCTGTGCATTGTCCTGGTGAATAGGGAGGGCCTTGCTGTTCAGCTTCCTTGACCATAGCCAAACAAGAGTTTGTTGTATTCAATGAGGAGTGGTATGATATTGCTGAGTACTAGTAAACAATGCACAGGAGTGGGATGCAGCATGCCAGAGATCATATGCATGGTCTGGCAGAGTTGGGCATCGACCATTTGAGTGTGAGCGCTGTTAATCCACATATTGGTGCAATATCCAGCTATGGAATAAACCAGGCTGTTGTTTGTAGGGTGTTAGCACTCTAGAAAGTTCCATCCAGTCTGTTCAATAAATTGTTGCAGTTTTCCAATTTTGCAGTTTATTTTTCAGGTGTTGGAAAGAGATTTGTCCAGTGTTACCCCCAGGTACTTTGGAGAATTATTACATTATAAAATCTGGTACCGGGATTTCACTAAAGGCGGGTAATTTGCATACTTATTGCTGAGGTGGAATGTGGCTTCTTCTGTTTCTGTCAGACTAAATTGGAGGCATCATTTTTTAAATATTTTTTATTGGTTTTTTAATTTTAACAAAAAGTACTTAAGACACACAATGGTGTTTGGGTAAACAAACATTCCAAAGTAAAAAACATAGATAAACCGCTCAACTTAATACATTCACTGTCATCTCTCTATTTCCCACAGATAACATAATAAATTTAATATATTCCATTTCTAGCTTAAATTTCTATTACTACTCAACCTGTTTTAAAACTTTATCAATTTACAATTATCATAATCAAATATTGTTTTACATCAACAAATTATTACTTCAAATATCTCTACCAGATATGTTAAAGTTCTTAATCTCTCTCATTCCTCTTTTTGTCACCAATCTCATTCATTTCTTCTTCCAATAATATCTAACTTAATTAAGAAAAAAATAATGTTAAACCTTAATTCCTTTCAATTCATTACACTAACTTCAAATTCCATCCAATTAATTATCATACCTTATCAGATCATATTGTTATACACAAAAATCACCTAATCAATTTAAGCACTTCAAAATTCCATTCTCATAACTGAACGTTTTTTCAATTCCAGAACATATACATGTATATGTATATGTATATGATTATATATTTTTTATCTTTAATACAATCCATAAAGCCAAGGTTCTTTTTTGTTTTTGTTTTTTCCACTCCAATTTTAACTTTCTTATTTCTGTACCAAGCAAATTTCCATAAAGCAAAAAAATCATCTAACTAATTTAAACACACATGTATATAATTGAATTTTTCTTACTTCTCACTCTAGATCATTATCCTTAAAGCAATCCATAAAACCAGCATTGCCTTTTAATCCATTAAACAGTTTTAACTTTCTTTTTCAGTCTAATTCTGGGTTTTTTTCTATGCCACACAGGCTTCCATAAAAGCGCTTCCCTTTCAACCAATAAATCCATTCTTGTTGCTTGTAGTAATCTTTGAGAAAATATAAATCCCTTCCTTTGCAGTAAACGTCTTTTTTCCCTTTCAACCAATAAATCTATCCTTGTTGCTTGTAGAAATCTTTGAAGATATATAAATCCCTTCCTCTGCAGTAAACGTCTTTTTCTCTTCTCCTTGCAGCATCGTTGCTTTGTAGTTTGAGATCTTAGTCTTTGCTTCTTCTGATTCTCTAAGTTGCTGAAGAGAGGGTTGTCAGATGAAATAAGTTCCTCTTCTATCTCTGTAGATTCCTCTTCTGGTACATTTTGATTTATACCATAGTCAGTTGTAGTCTGAACATCAGTTTGAACAAATGTAGTAGAGTCTTTGGATCTTGATTCTAAAGTATAGTTTTTAAATGTAGCACATATTTCTGCAGTGGCCTCATAAATCTTTTCCAATATAAGTATAGAGTTCAATTGTGGCTGAGGTTTCTCCATTTTAATACAAATGCTTAAAAGAAGATCTCTTTTTCTTTTTTGTGGAGGCTATATTAAATGCAAACAACATCCACCCCCACAGCTTCCACAGCTGCACAGCTTATCTTTCCCTCAAAAGTATTTTGAAGTTCAGTAGGAAAATAAGCAGAAGATGCAGTATTAGACTCTCGCCACTAGTGAGTTAAAAAAGGTCTTTTCCAAAAATCAATTCCTTTTTCTATCTTTTGAAATATAATAAATATTATATATATATAATACAGTTCTTGAAAAGACTTAAAAAGAGAGAGAGAAAATCTTTTCTGTCTTTTTTCCTTTTTAGTATCCAAATAAAATATATATCAAAGTAAAATATAGTCTTTTTCATTATTTATAAAACACCTTTCTTCCCAAAAAAAGCAAAAGCCACCTGTCCAAGCCAGGGAAATAATTCCAAAAGCTCTTACAGGTACCCAAACAAAAAAAAGTAAAAAAGAGTTACAAGAAACAATTCTCACTGGGATTCACCACGCAGGCACTCAAAGCTTAGATGTTGTCTGACTTTCGGTCTGAAGCGGCAGGGCGATTGGCCATTTTACTGGCTGATCTTCTTCTCCGTCGGCCCTCAGAGATTCGTCCGGACACCTGGAGGAGCTGCCGCTCCTCCACAGCCAGACAGCAGCCTCCTCGACGGAAGTCGCACCCTCCAGGGCGACTTTGGACCCGTATAAAAGTCCACTGACGGAGGGAAAAGTAGCCAACGAGAGAAGTCTCCCCGTGCGATTAGTGACGCCGCAAACTGGAACCGGAAGTCGAGGCATCATTTTTTGAAGTAGTCATCCAACTTCTGGAGATCTTAAGAAAGGATATCCTCTGCATCACTGAAGTTGATCCTTTGGGCTGTGAGATTGATATTATTGACATAGATAAATTTCCAAGAAACAGTTTCAGGCAGGTTATGAATGTACAAATTAAAAAGAGTAGGGGTTAGCACTGATCCTTGTGGAGTCCCTTATTCAACTTAGGATATCTGCTTCTATTGAATTCTATGAAAACTTGAAATAACCTGTTATTCAACCTGTTGTCAAACAAAGCAATGATATTAAGACAGGGTACTGAAGGCCTTCTCTCCAAATGATATCATAGGCTGCCAAAAGGTCAAGAAAAACATAGACGTTCTCCAGATAGAAAGTTAGTGCAAGGATTTAATCACTACACTCATATTTGGGGAGAAATCCAGCTTGTTCTATTTGGATTACAGATTCTACTGCTAGGGTATTCTGTTTAACACAGCGGTTCCAACCCTTTCTATATCCCGCACTCCTAGAATGCTTCTGATATATTCTCACACCCCTTACAAAAGTTTGAAATAATGGCAGTGAATTATGTATATACACTATAATGTTAAAGACTCAAGTTTTTGCACCCCCTGGAATATTGTCTCACACCCCAGGGGGTGTGAGCATCCCTGATTGGAAACCCCTGGTGTAACACTAGTCTTTCTAAATATTTGTAGGTGCAATAGAGAAGAGCAATTGGCCTGTAACTTGGTGGAAGGCGTGAATCCTTCCTGGTTTCAAAATTGCAATAATTTTGCTCTTCTTGAATATAGGAGGCAGCCATCCTGAGTATAGTATGGTACTAAAAAAAGAGGCAAGCCAACATTTAGTTGCTGGTCCACAGTTCTGCAATAGCTCTGGGTACATGCCATCAAACCCTGCAGCTTTATCGTTTTGTAATGAATCCAGACCCTTCTGCATTTCTTCTGGTGTAAATGGGCGTGAGTATATAAAGCATTAATATAATACAGTATATTAAATAAGGATAAATAATTGCTGAAAGTCAAAATGTAATACGTTCTTCCCATTCTGATTAGAATCAGAATGGAATCAGACTACTATGCATTCATTCAGCTTACAAGAGATCACTGGACTAGAGATTCCAACTGTAAGAAATCAATAATTGTAAACATTAATCCGGAGCTAAATAAATAAGCAGACAAGATTATATTTTGTTAGAGGAACACAGATCAGATTTTTTTTTCTTTTATATTTGTTTATATGTGTCCATTCTGTTACATTTAAATCAGATGTTTCATGGATGACAGGTTACCAATCTAATGTAGCAAACTAGATACCTTAACCCAGTGATGGCAAACCTTTTAGAGGCCGAGTGCCCAAACTGCAACCCAAAAGCCACTTATGTATTGTCAGGTGCGGATGGCTGTGGCCCATTGGGTGGGCATGACTGCGGTGGTAATGGCAGACTGGGTGGGACTAAAAAGTTCAATCAATCAATTCCAACTTTGCAAGATCTTTTTATTTCCTGCAAGAAGTTGAAATTGATTGATTGATTGAACTTTTTTTTTTTCACACAGCGGTGGAGGCCTAAAGTGAAAAGGTTTTATAAAACCCAACTGAAGGACTAGGACTGGGGCGATGACACACGTGCCCACAGAGAGGACTGTGTGTGCCATCTGTGGCACACGTGCCACAGGTTCACCACCACGGCCTTAACCTATATAAGTTCATAAAATCTGGTCATGCTGATTAGGGGCTTATGGGAATTATAATTTAAAGCATTTGGGGTACGTTTGGAAAAGAATGATCGCTTTTTTTCTAAAAGTATGTAAAAAAAGCTGCAAACATGTTGAAAAATATTCTCTGCACTTTTATTTAAAATACTGTCAAGATGGATTGTTTTTTACAAAATCTTTAAATATTTTCTTACAGCTGTTGGTGAATCAGAAAGTGATATCTACATGCGATTCATGAAGTCACACAAGTGTTACGATATTGTTCCAACAAGCTCAAAGCTTGTGGTTTTTGACACTACACTACAGGTGAGTTTCCCTTTGGGAGATTCATTTCTTTACAGTTAGTTGTCTTGTGTTTGTAATAAACAACAACAACAACAACAACAAAGAAATGTTATTAACAATGACATTAGTTCATATTTGAATATACTGGTATCCTTTTCTGCTGTAGTTGCAAGTACAAATTCACCATTGGGTAGATTATAAAGTAGCATAAATCTTTGGAAAGTGCAAAAATCCCTTAATCTACTTCCACTCCAAAACCCATCAAATTGCCCAGAATAGCATGGTCTAGTAGGCAGTTCACCATCATCCAGATGGAAACAGCACATTTTGTTTTCTAAGCTATGTCTTATTTCAGTTCTGATATACTTAATTTATGACCATTCGTTCAGCAATTATTCAGAATTATGACAACACTGAATGAATGGTAGTTATGACCAGTCCTTGGAGTTCTAGCCCTCCCAGCACATTACGAGATTGCATTTTGAGTGCTAGATAGCTGGCAGACATTTATGAATGGTTCGATTGTCCCACAATTAGGTGCTCTCCATTGCAATCTTCCCTGGCAGCTTCTGGGGAAGCTGGCAGGGAAATTTGCAGGTCCCTAGGATAAGTCTCCCCCACTTGCATATCCTCCCCTGCCATTATGCTCATCAGCAAACCTCATGGAACCTCAGATAATCAGAATATGTTTGTATGTTGTATCATTGATCCTATTCAATTTTTGAAAGATTTGTGTAATAACCTACGCTTGTACTATATGCTGCTGTTTGGCTTTATGAAGAGGCCCTCTATCTGCCTTGCTGCAGGGTTCTCAACTGAATCTGACATTTCCCCAACATTTTGAAATGAGAGTTCTTGATAATACTTTTGTATGATATTTGGCATGTATGTGGTACTTATGACTGTTGTCCTACAACCAATAAAGATAAAAGTTTCCCTGTCCAGTCGTGTCCAGTTTTAGGACACAGTGCTCATCTCCGTTACCTGGCCAGGCAGCCAATGTTGTCTGAAGACATTTTACATGTGGCTGTAAGGAACTGGGCTTTTATCTCTCTTGGATGCCATCTAGTGGTGTACACCTAAGGTGTATTTCCCAGATAAGATTTGAAGAATTTATTGAGTTGCATCTCAAATCACAGCGTGCATACCATTGTAATCATTCAAAAGAGGGGAAGCTACCCCTCAAAATCTATAATGAACTGACTTGTTTAAAAGATCATTCTGTAAGAAGAGGAAATGAACAACCAGAACTTCCCTGAAAGCAGCTGCTAGTATAGAATTTCTTTTCTATAGTAATACAAAAGGAAAGTTCTTCCAATTATACCTTCATTTTATGCATGAAAAGGCAGCCTGCAATTTCTTGCATTTTCTTGGTTTTGTGGTCCATCGATCCATTTTAAAGGAGGGGAGGGGCTGGGGAAGCAAGGAATCCATCTCCCTTGTAGTCAGAATATTACTGGAGAAGAGGCAAACAAGTTAGGCAGGTAGTCATCAACCTGTCCCAGATGCAGAGTTATGGAGCTCAACAAATGGGTAACCTTTCTGCTGCAGGAAACGGTTTTATGGAAGAGACCTTTTATTATAGATTTAGAATTCAGGACTGGAAGATAGCAGTTAAGCTTACTTCAGGGTAAAAATGATTTTAAAATTGACAGAAATTTGCATCATTTTTATTTTAGATAAATCACTAATTTCAATATAGGTTCAAATTGGGTAATATAAAAAAACTTGACCAAAGAATGAGAAATGACTGGAGAAAACCAAGATTACAAATAATGTTACTTGGAAACTCCATTAAATTCATTTTAATAGTGTTGTTATTGAACATTAGCTCTCATTTGTAAGGATCCTAGTTCTTCGGACTAAAATCTGATAATTTTGAAATAGACATGTAATACATACACTATCATTTTTCTTATAAATATTCTTGAATGGTGCTAGTCACAGCATGTTACTGGGTGATAAGAAATTAATTTTTTAGTACTGACTAAGAGCAAAAGAAACTGCAAGTGATTTTTTTTCTACTTTTTTCCTGAAAAATGTATAATTGCATTGCAGATTTATTATAAAATAAGCAGTTACCATGTTTTTGAATCTTGAGGATGAGAAAGGAAGGCAAAAATTAAATGACCTCTTCTCTTACATACATCCCAATGTATTTAATTTCTGCCTCATTTCTTGAGTTTTAATTTAGTCATAAATGTTTTTTAATTTTCTAAAATATGATCCCTGCCATGCAACTATTGCAGTGTGTGTGTGTGTGTGTGTGTGTGTGTGTGTGTGTGTGTGTGTGTTTTAAATTCAAATAGATATATCTTTCTAAATAGGTTTCTATAAGATAATTTGTTGTTGTGTTTTTCTTTTTTCAGGTAAAGAAAGCTTTCTTTGCTTTAGTGGCAAATGGTGTTCGAGCAGCTCCACTGTGGGAGAGTAAAAAACAAAGCTTTGTAGGTAGGATGATATTTGTTGGTATGACATTATAGAAAAATAGCATGAGTGACTTTTTTCCTTCTGCTTTTTTTACTTTTTTCTTTTATACTAAAAAATAAGGATATATTTTAGATATATAGTAGAAACTCAATTTAATGAACTTCCATTTAGCAAATTTTGGATGCAACGGACCAAATTTCTGTCTGGGCATGCCTCCAAAATAATGGACAAATCTGATATAACTGAAGTAGTTCAGATGAAGCAGCTACACTTACATTAATGTTAGGTCATCCATAGTGATTTGCATCATTTTGGCCATGCTGTTATTAAGCAATTGATGTGAATTGTGTAATTTGTGTGATGACACGATTGCTGCAATTCATATAATTGGTGATTAAGTGGATGGTTGAGAGTAATAGACCTGCCTCCTCCCCACCCATGCATTAAATCAATATTACCTTGTATTGGGAAAACATGGTTTTCTGCTAAGTGACAAGCCCATGTGAGAAAAGCATTGGAAACTTACAGTTTTAAACATACAGACATTTGAAAGTGATATCTGAATTTGTGTATGATTTCTTTATATTCTTGCATTTGTACTATGGTATAATATGTGGTACATAGTCTATTTGGCCATTAACTAGATTTTAAACAAACTACACCTCATTAAGTTCACACTATAAAGAGAACTGTATTTAACTCAGAAGTAAAAACTTCCCAATCTCCTTGCACTCATGGCAGAGGAAAGGACAATGGGGTAAATAAATATTAAGCACAAGGCTCGCTATAGCTTATACAAATAGTGAGAAAATAGGACTTGCTATCATATCTGATAATTTCAGTCACAGAATGAGGAAAAGAATGCAAGCGTATGAAAGATTTCTCATGAAGCTTTGCATTTTAATACTGACCATTTTAAAGAAAGTGACAGTGATTTTGGATCAGGTCTGGAAAACATACAAGACAGCATTAAGTTTTAGAACTCAGTTCTGAACAAAGATGGTATGTCATTTTTGAGTACAACTAGAAGAGTACTTAAAAATTATCTTTGGCTGTGCTTAAGAAATATGGGCAGTTTTTTTTGCACATAAGTCAAGTTGCATTTCAAATGTTTTATATTAATCAGATATCTGCTTTTATTTTATTTTTTTCATTCTAATTGAAGACTCCAACTTGCTATTCTAAAGACAATTCCAAAATAAGGATATAGTCATAATTTATTTTTAGATGTCTTCCACTAAGCTTCAGTATTGGAGGCTATTTACATGAAGCATTAAATTAAATTCTGGCACTTCAGAAAACAAGTTTAGAACTTGTATGCACTTTATGACTTTAATAAGATAGAATTCTTAATAAGCACAGAATAGTTGGGAACTCTTACGTATCAGTCAAATTTTACTTTAGCTGAAAAACAATTCTAGCTCTTTGGTGGAAAAGATATTAAAATATTAAATTTTGTGGGGTAATTATGATATCACAACTCTTAATGTTATTTGTGAAGAATAAACATTACTGTGTTCGTGCATATTTCCAAGACTTCACTGGGCTTTCTGTCACTTACCAGTAAATCTGTAAAGTTTAACAAAGTTAAAAACAGATTAGAAAACTGGATTAAATGTGCTTTTTCTTTGCCTTGTTACAGGAATGTTAACAATTACAGATTTCATTAATATACTGCATAGATACTACAAGTCTCCAATGGTAGGTTCCACCTCATAATTACAGCTTTTACAGATAAAATAGGATGTCTGAAATAAAAGTATTATTATAAAAATGGTTAAAAGTAATGGTTAAGAGAAAGAATGCCATTCTAGCTTGTATATAAATATGGAGTTTTCCAACTTCTCTTAATTTGTGTGTAAAACTGAACAGGGACTTGCATGCTTTATTTTTTTTATTAATATTATGGCTGATTATTGCCAAATGAAAAGAAAAAAGTATGTTCCGTAGATGGCAGTAATGCTTAACAATGATTGGCCCAGAAGAATGTAAAAACACATTGATGTGTTTTGGGAAATATAAAAACAGTGGACTAGATCTAGTGTGATTGGTTAGTATTTGACTGTAGAAACTTAAATTCAGTGTGTTGCTTAAATAACTATATAGATAATTAGTGGACTTTGAGTAAATCAGTAATTCTCAGCCTAGTGTACTCATGAGCCAACTTACAAAAATTAGCAACATTGTATCAGAATCTAATACTCTGAAGTTTTTATACAGAGGTATCTGGAGAGAGGGCAGAGCCAGTAAGTAAACAAGTCTGTATCACTATACAAACCCCACCTTTTATATACTTGCATGCATGCTGCAGTACAAGTACAAAAGGGAAGAGCTAATATTGTGATGTGATGCACATTTCAATTTGAAACATCACAGTTATTGGGAAAACATCTTATGTTTCAATGTAGGCTATGTATCCAGACTGAAATTAGTTATTCCTAATATTTGAATATAACAGCTGTATTTGAACCTGCCAATAACTGAAAAATGAAATATTTCTACCTTACATTGTTCAAATACACATATTTGATACATTGATCTGTTTCTCTGTTCAGTCATGTATCTGGCATATTGTTAGAACCGCATACATTTACATAAGTTATTTTTTGATATGGCAGATTCTGGAGACAGTAGAAAAGAGAAAGAGCTAGAGTAAATAACAAAATACAAAGTTCTGTAAGTGGAAATAGAATGACTGTGGCAAAAGAAAGCAAAGATAGTACCAATTATAATAGGCATCTCGGATGCAATCCCAAAACAACTGGAATGCCTCTTGAAGACCATCAGCATTGACAAATTCACCATCAGTCAATTGCAAAAAGAAGCTTTACTCAGAACAGCTTACATCATGCGACGATACTTCTAATACCATCAAATATCAACATCTGTCTATCCCAGGTCCTTGGAAAGGCTTGATAGACGGATAAAATGCCAAATCTGGTCTGAATCTGGCTGACTGCGTGATGAACCATAATAATTTCCTGTATTGACCTTTCAGTAAGTTAGAGGATGTGTTGTGGGAAAACCACTAAATATTTTTTTTGCTTCATTAATCTTTCTTCCTGATATTTTTGTTTGTTTGTTTGTTTTACTGAATTTGAGACAATGAAAATAGTCAAGATACTTTTTTCACCTGGAACTTTACACAACAGTTTTAAAAATGAGCATAGCTAAAGCGATACACAGAGCCAGCTGAAGCAAATATGATATTTAATCTTTCTAAAAGACGCAATCCTTTTTCTTATATGCAAATTAATTATGCTTGCCAATTTGTAACACAGATACCCCTTGCTATTGGCATTTATGATCTCAAAGATGTAGAGGAAAGGAAAACCAACTTAAAAACTTACTGGTATTTGAAAATCTAAATGTTACAGTCTGGTTAGTTAAGAAACAGATTGTCCTCCCACAGTAATTCTGTTCATCCTGTCTTCAAACCCCAAATGTACAGTTACTGCATTTGCTTATCTTCTTTACTTCCTAAAGTGGCATCTGCACTTATTTTGTCTTTCGTGCAGCGGTACATTCAACTACAATTACTCACTGTCATAAGTATATACATCAAGTAAAGAAAAGTGAATCAAGCTGTAGATTACTGATCAACCAGGACTGCCAAACTACTAATGTGTTAAATGGGATGAAGAATTTTCCTTCATGTGTATTCCCCAAAGACTGACTCCAGTGGAGTTTCCTGTTAAACACACAAATCCTGACTAGACAGGATTACGTTTGCAGCATTGAATGGTATATTGCAGCACTGTTCATCTCACACTTGAGCCAGGTGGTCTAGTTTTGGTGGCCTTGTCCTAGATCCATTGTGTAAATAATAATTAAACTAACTTAACCAGTCAATGCAGTGCACCATCTTATTATGGATTTCATGCACCATTTTTTTATATAGTATTGCTATAATTTGGAATGAGGTGACTTTCTTATGACAGTGACAAGGCAATTTTTAAAAATCAAATGCAGGGACATTCCTTTCACTGCTGAACATATTTGAATGCATAATACCCATAAATATGAATAGAAAAACCTGGGGGCAAGGGTGTAGTCAACAAAACAGATGTCTTGCTTGTCTGTGGCTGTATGTGCAGATGGCCCAGAGCTGGCTCTGTTGTTCAACATCAAGGTTGCCAACTCTAGCAAGTTCCTTCCAAGGAGAAGGTGGAATTGGTGGAAATTCAACAGGTATTATTATCTCAAAAGTTGGAAAAATCTGTGCTTTAGGCTGTCACACAGGTGAGTATTGTTTTGTCAAGCGTCAGGCAGTGGCAGGTGCCAGGCGTCGTTTTCTTTGAAGACCCATGGACAATAAAATAACAATAAGTAAGGAGGTTTTAAGCTTTATTTTTAACTTTAGCAGAGAGATAACAGAAGCATAAAAGCAAATATACCAAACAAGATGATAAACAGCAAACCCTTCTTCAACTCTTAGGAGCAGAGAAACCCCAAGATTACTTAAATTGGCACGTGTTTCTCTGTACAATTACCAGACATCCCATGTGCTATAAGTTTGCGTGATGAAAGGTCAGGTCATACAATCGTGGGATCATGTAGACAAAGTCATGAGAACCTGGTACCAAGTGTAAACAATTAAGGTCTTGGTACATGGTCTGGTGCAAGATAGTGATCAAAGATCCTGGCCTTGGCCTTGGAATTGAGAACTTCAACATAGACCTTTGAAGGTAGCTGTTGTGTGACTGGTATATCTTGAGGTTTCTCAATAATTGTTCCATAGGTCCTGGGTTGGGGTTTGGGGCATCTTAGGGTCTCTACATTGTTATTCCACTGACAGGTGATGGAGGGGTTTGTTGTACTTTTATGTTTCTGTTTAATTTTTTTCTTGGGTTAATTAAGAAAACTGATAAAGTTAACTGCAGCAGTACTTTTTTTTTTTTGGAACAGCTTTCTTCCTGAGATCTGGATGGCTTCAATCCAGTTGGTCTTCTGGAAGGCTGCATATACCCTGCTTGTTGGCCAGGCCATTAGTGGAGCCTAGTATGCCTGCTGCTATATGAATTGCCTTGATTATAGTGTGATCATTGTTTTTAATCATATTGAGTTTTTATTAATATGTTGTTTAACAAACTTTATTAGCTCGGTTTAAAAAAAGATAAATATAACATTAGCAAAATCCAGTAGTTTTGCCATTCAATTTTACTACTATTTTAAAAGTAGGAATTCTACCGAGAGCACTTTTTATTTGAATAGTGTTCTTCACTAAGATGTTATTTTGTAAAGTACTGTTAACACTGTTTGATTTTAAATGAATAATACCAGGACAAGCATGATTTTTTTATTTGCACAAATGCCAAGATTTTAATGCAGTGAGGAAGAACAATTTTGTTTACAGGATCTATTCTCCTTGTATACTATTGACTATACATTTACTTTCTGTAAAATTTCCTTACTTCCTTCCATTTGGGTTGGGTAAACTGTGATGAATTAATCAGTGTAAGCTTCTGTTCAGTATAACAATGATGTGATTCACACTGGCTTGCACAATGTGGTAAGATATGATATATACCATACAACATATATATTAAAATGCAAGTTGGTTCTGTAGTCTTCATTTTTGAAAGAAAAATCATAGTTTTCTATGCCTTAGATTTGGCGGTTTTATAATTCTAGCTCCCAGGAGTCATGAACTCTCACTTAGCATTCACTTGTTAGAACCAAGAGGAGAAAGGATTAAAAACTAGGAGGGAGGGGAAGGAAAGTAGGAGGAAATGTTATTTAGTGATTATCACTGTTCAGACAAGTATTCTGTTGGATGCCACTGATCTCAGAAAATAAAATTTATTTTTCAAAGCACTACAGAATAAAATTTTAGAGAAATTTATATTCTAACCAAATTTTGTTTGTCTTTAATGCAACATACTTGCAATGTTGATAGAAATAATAGTGAACTGAATATAGTTCTTAATTCTAATAATTGGAATCCTGATTTCTACTATATAGATAGAAGAGCTGTATATAATGCTGAGCATTTGATCTTTTTCCTAATTTTGGCAAGCTCTTTGGTTGAATTTTAAATTTGTTTATTATCTAGCCCTTGCTTATATGGAGACAATTTGGTGTGGTGATTAAAGGCACATGGTTAGGAAGTGAGAGAGGAACTGAGAGACCAGACAGACACTTGTCTGAGATGGTATAGGTTCTCCTGCTTGAGCAGGGGGCTGGACTAGGAGACCTCCAAGGTCCCCTCCAGATTTTATTCTATTCTGCTCCGCTCTGCTCTACTCTACTCTTAGGCATGAAGCCAGCTGGATAACTTTGGGACACTGTTTCTAAGAATCAAGTCAAGAAAAACTGCAGGGATTTGTCTAGAGTCTAGACAGTTGCCAGGAGTCAGAAATTACTTAAGGGTGAATACTTATATACACACTACCCAAAACCTCATCACTTAGAAAAGAACTCAAAATCCCTTTTTCTTCTATTCTCAATATTTTTATTCAAAGGAAGATGCCCTTTATTTTAATGATTTTTTAAAATATAAGTGTCTAGCTTTTTTTGTCTTTCCTTTTTACAGGTACAAATCTATGAACTAGAGGAGCACAAAATTGAAACATGGAGAGGTAAGTATATGTTATAAAATGAATGTGATCCTCCAAACTGGCTGTGCAGCTCTCTTGTTTACTAGATCTTTTATCATCCCTAAATCTAAGAATGGTAATATACCCGTAAATGGCTTATATCCTAGAATGCAGAACTAATTTAATGTGTCTCGATGCTTGTCCCAGTAAATCAGTGTTACTTTTCCTCGGACGTCTATATTTTTTCATTCATATTATCTTTCTCATATAATTGTTGCAGTGATTTTCCCATAGTGGAAAAACAGTTCCATTGTAGATAGTGACTGAGTCTTGTCTTAGTTTTATTTTATTGAAGATAGGTCCTCTAGACCCCGTTATGTGTCATAGAAAAATACTGATAGCCTATTTGATCTACTGAGTTAAAAAAAAAAAAATTAGCTTTCTGAAATGTAAACATTTGGGTAATTCCAAACTTTCTCTAAAGTACTTTCCACAACTTTATAGTATAGTGACATCTAGTGGTTATTTGGTTCTAGTTTTTTCAGTTTTCTCTGTTTATTATGATTAGTTTTGAATTAAAAAGCCAATAGGTGCTTGTTTCTTTATCACAGATATGTTTATTATTATGAAATATTTATTGAATATTATAGGTTTATGAAAATATTCTTGTTTAATTATACAGAGCTTTATTTGCAAGAAACCTTTAAACCCTTAGTGAATATTTCACCAGATGCAAGGTATATTTCTTTACCTTTTTTATTTGTAAATTCTTTTAATGTTTTATTATAAACTCAGTTAATGCATTTTTATCACACTATTTCAAAAAAATTGTTAAGACTAATTCAATATCTGTCAGAAGTTATGGTTTTGACAGCAGTCATTTATTTGATGCTCACTTTAATGCTCTTTGTATTGATGACTTCTATTGATGAGTTTGGGGACATGATGGCTCAGCAGTTAAAGATGCTGAGCTTGTCAAGCTGAAAAGCTGACAGCCCAGGTTTGAGACCTGAGTGCTACACAACAGAGTAAGCTCCTATTACTCGCCCATCTAGCAGTTCGAAAGCTGCAAACGCGAATAGATATTATTTTAGTGGGAAGGAAATAGTATTCTGTGTATCTTGTATAGTCATGCTGGCTACGGAAAATGTTTTTGGACAATATTGGCTCAGCTAAGCAACAAAGATGAACACGCCTCCTAGAGTCGGACACAACTGGATAGGGGAAATCTTTACCTTTATAAATCAGTTATCAACTCTGAATTATCAGCTTACTTGTCACTATCAATAACTTTGAGCCTTGGTAACATTTTTCCTTTTCTACTGTATATCTTTCCACAACTCTCATTATAATGATTCTTCTCCTAGAACATTCTTTTTATGTTTTGATATACTTATTGGTATGTTGATATTAAAATATATGTAACATGTTTAGTTGAGAATTAAAATTATAAATTTTACAGTTTTCACAATTTCCTTGAATATTGTTTATTAAGAATCATTTATACTTTGGATTTTGAGTAATTCTTTTGTAGTGGGAAAATGTCTTTTTGAAATAAGTCAATAGAATATACTAATAATTGTAATAACTTTTTCTTTAGCCTTTTTGATGCTGTATATTCACTGATCAAAAACAAAATCCACAGATTACCAGTTATTGATCCTGTGAGTGGAAATGCACTTTATATACTTACCCATAAAAGAATACTCAAGTTCCTCCAGCTTTTTGTAAGTAGAACTATAATTTTATTTAATTTATCTAGTAAATCAATTGTATGAATGTTAAAATTATCCCGGGTCTGTGTCAGTATACTCATTACATGTACATACCTTCTAGTTGGCAAAATGTAAACAGCAGTATATTGACTAGCCAGTTTGTCTCTCAATCACAAATTCTACCTTGTGTAGAAAAGCACAAGCATAATTTAGTAAAATCTAGTTTGGTTACATTAGCTGGATGGCTGCATATGGCATGCAGGTATGTGTAAGGCAGATAATTTAGTCTGCCTCTCTTCTATTAAATTTAAAATAGTATATGAAAGCCTCAAGCATTCCAATTGATGATGGGTGATGGAGATAAGTATCTATGCCAGTGATGGTGAACCTTTTAGAGAATGAATGCCCAAAACCCGTCCCCGCCCCCTCCGCCCCTATCCTGCCCATTCCACCCCTGTTCCGCGCTCCGCCCACCTGCAGGGCCACCCACCACCTCCACAGCCCGCCGCAGCAGATTGCCCAGGCAGCTCAGCAGCGCCACGGTGGCCATGCCCTCTACCCGTGCCTCGTAGCATCATTTGCATGTGACAGAGCGCGAGGGTGGCCCTGGGGGGAGGCAGGGCTGGGGCAATGGCGCGCGTGCCCACAGAGAGGGCTCTGAGTGCCACCTCTGGCACGCGTGCCATACGTTCGCCACCACTAATCTATGCCATCCTTTGACAACCATGGCATATGGAAGGTTGGAACATGGAATGTAAGAGAAATAAATGGTAAAAACATGATCTGACAGGTGAAATGAAATGAAGAACAATGAAATTCAAACCCATTGGCCCTGCTGAAGTAGACAGCTTCTCAGAACTGTCAGCTTGTCCGCCTGTGTTTTAAATCCCTGCCCCTCCTGATTCATTAATGTCTCCTGGGAGGGGGCAGATGGAGTACATATTGGAAAGAGACACACAGTTTCCATGACACATACAGGAACAATTAACATTGAAAGTTTCAAAGCTATGAAAGTTTAATCTAAGATGATTTCTGACATTCTATATAAGACAATGGTAAAAGTGCAATTGTGAGGATGAAACAAAAGAACTGAAAGCTGAATATTCATGTTTAAACAAATGTGACATTTAGATTTGAGTTTGCACACTAATTTCGGGTTTACTAAATTTTAGAATTGGTGAAGATTTATTGGAAGAACTGAAGAAATAAATTCCTCGTGCAGTTTTTTTTTTAAAGAAAAAAAATACTGGCTTATGTATCTGGAAAACGCTTTTCAAATGATTGTTTTTTTAAATTTGTCTTCTACTTTTTCAAGGTGTCAGAAATGCCAAAGCCTGCCTTCATGAAGAAAAATCTGGATGAACTTGGAATAGGAACTTACCATAATATTGCCTTTATACATCCAGACACTCCTATCATTAAAGCCTTGAATATATTTGTAGATAGAAGAATATCAGCACTACCTGTTGTGGATGAGTCAGGTGAGTAGTAAGGATATCAAGTTTGCTACTGCTTGTTGTGAGTACTAAAGACTGGAAATATTTTTAAATTTTAAGACAATCACAAAATGCAGATATGCAGGAATGAGATCTGAAGAACTTTTGCCCACATTATATCAAAATATTGTGCATATCTTATTAGAAAAATCTTTGAAGATTTCATTGTTTATTTAGATCAATGTTTCTTAATGTTGACAAATTTGGGATGAATGGTTTTCAACTCCCAGAATTGCCCAGCTAACATTCTGGATAACTTTTCCTATAACTTCATTTGGACGGTTTAAAGAAAATAAATAAATATTATTCCAAGAAGCCCTAGAAATAATATTTCTGGGATCTAACATACTTCTACCGTATCATCTGGGAGTTAGTCAGCTGAAAAATCTGGCTAATCACCCCATGTCATCCTCAATGTGGTGTCATGCTGCCCCAAAGTCTAGCAAAACAAATGAGATTTGTTCCAAGGGTAGGTCATTCACCAAGATTGTTAATGTTCCAAAACAGCATCTAAATTTGTAAACAAGGATATGTGCTTCAGTGTTCAGGAAAACATTCTATTCTCATATTGAATTTGCAGTTCAATTGTTTAACAGAGTTCATGGTTTTTTCTTAATTGTTTTCCTTAGCCCATAAAGCTCTTTCCAAAATGTGGAATCAATATTAACTAATTTGGTTTGTCTGTTATTTGCAATCACATTATAAGACTTATTTATCTTCCCCTTTTAGGAAAAGTTGTAGATATTTATTCCAAATTTGATGTTATAGTAAGTATTATTTTTTATTTTTTATAATACTTTTTGACTTTCACTGTGACCACTCTGTAATATGCCCTGGTTCATAGGGTTAGGGTTATTCTTATGAAATTATTTTATTAATATGTTAAATAATACTTGGAAAGCATCTTTATAACCATTATACTCGTTCTCCCCTCTCATCCCCCAGACTACTAGTGCGGTAGTCATAATGTAGATCATACTCCGAGTTCATGTAGCATATGTTATTTCCAAAGGCAAAGTATGATACAGTCAGAAATTTTCCTTAGCATAGTGAGTTTTGCATAAATATTATAAAGTGACAGCACCAAAACTGTTAAGTAAAAATGAGAAGAAAAAATAAATTTGAGATTTTATTTTATGAATACTTTTTGCTTTAGTCTAAAGTAACTAAATCTAAAGTATTCCATGGATACTTTATAAAAATGGGAATAAAATTCTTGGTTGAGGAAAAAACTACTGAGCAATAGTTTACAGTATCCGACGCTTCAAATGAAACAGTGCTATCCTGTCTTAAAATCAAAGATGGGAAATGAGAAGGATTCTGTTGCTTTTTCTTGCTTTTTTCTCTTTTCATAATCATTACCCCTTTGAATTCAAAATTATGGGGAGCTCATATCCATAGTCTGCTACCATAGTTAGAAAGGGCTTGATAATTGTCATTAATGAGAATGCTGGGACAAAATGAAAAGAAAGGGAAATACTTAGTTGAGAAGAGATGGCAAGCAACCATACTCTTCTTCATATCTCCTACCCCAAGATCTTTAATTTTAGAGAGTTAAAAATTAAGTACCACTAATGTGCAATATGCATTGTTTTAACTAAAACACTCTTTTCTTGCACCCAATTAACCCAAAATATGTATGGTAATATCATTGGGGCACATACAGGCTTGTCTACTTTACTTTTTCCCCATTAATTAAATCACAACATGTGGATTACATTCTGGAGTAAAATAATGAAATGTATTGGCTGCACATAAAAAGTTGAATTAAATCATCCATAACTGCCTTTTTTTCTAGAATCTTGCTGCTGAAAAAACTTATAATAACTTAGATATCACAGTGACACAAGCTCTCCAACATCGCTCTCAGTATTTTGAAGGTGTTGTGAAATGTAATAAGCTGGAAACGCTGGAAACAATTGTGGATCGGATAGTTAAAGCTGAGGTGAGAATTTGGGAGGAGGGCACAGTAGTTTTCTGAATAGCGCTGCTTATGAAATTTATAGATGAAAGTAAATAAATAGTAACAGTATAAGAATATTGTGATATAATACAAAATGCATTAAAACTTAATCCAGCCACTTTTTTTAAAAAAAGTGCAATAAATTTATTATATGATCCTTTTATTTTTTACACTTATTTATAAGGTTTGTTAAATTTCCTAATTAAATATACTGCTTTTATTGAGATTTCAAAGTGGTCTTGCTATGTAAATATAGATAGTTTAGAAAAAGTTTGTTGATGTGAATGGATTAAACCATCAAACATTTAACAATTGCTAGGAACAAATGTGTTGAAGATGTGTGAGAACAGCATGATAGAAACATTCTGTTAACACACCTTTATGTGATAATTAAAGTAGCTTAAAAAGTGAATAATAAGAAACTGTTCAACCTCTCACTTTTTTAGCAATCAGCAATCTATTCTAAATAAGGAATAATTGAGATGTACCCTCAAAACACTGCATATCTTCTGCAGGGTAAAGCTGTTTTTTGCTTCGCTTTGATTGCAGGTTTGATTCACTTGCAGACAACAGGCCAGACTAGAAATTTATCCCCATTCCATTTTCAACAAACTTTTCATGAAATTTAATATTTCATGAAATTCTAAAATTTTTCATGTATCCTAGAATTTTATTAGTTTCTGCTTTCTCCAAGTAGCATTTGACTGGATTTTGAGCATGTATGGATAATCTTCCCACATAGCTATTCATAACTTATCTAAGCTCATAGTTTCTTTTTCCATTTCTTTTCTTCCAGCCACCATCTTTTCAAAATATAATTAGAAAAAAATCCCAAAAGGTTCTGAATTATTTTCTATACCACTAAAATCAGCAATGGCTTTGAAATATTTTGCTCTGTGGCCAAATAAAGACAGGAACAAACTACGAAGAAGTCAAGAGGCAAGCAAAAAGGAGTAGGGAGCACTATATATGCTTTTTTGAGCCTCTGCAGCGAAGAAAGATGAATTTAACAAACAAATTAAATATAGTTATGTGTTATTCAGGAGCCCATTTGTGTAAGAAAATTACCAAACTTGAAAAGAAAGATCAATTGATTAAATCTGTGCAGTATTTATAGACACATTGAACCCTTTCATCATAATCCTACGAAAAATATCACCAATATAAGATAAACATCTATAAAAATAGAATTTCCCCCCCTTTTCTGTTTCTTTCCTGTGTTCCCCATTTGTATCAGGTGGGTATGACTGTTCAAATACAAGAGAAGAGGAGCTCTAAATTGCCTGGCCGGTAGGTGGTTCACCTCTGTCCTCCGTTGTTGAAAAACCTTGACTTGATTCTGTGTGCTTACCATTTGACAGAGTGCCCACCCTTTCTTTCATCAGTTCTTTTCAATTCACAGTATTTCCTAAAATGGACACAAAATGAGAAAATAGTAGCAAGAAGAGTAGTTTACAGGGGTTAGGAATCTGGCCCCCTCCAGTAGTTGTTGGAAAAAACATGGCCTAGCTAGCAAGGCATTGCTGGGAATTGAAGTTCAGTACATCTAGATTCCTCATTCCTGCTGTAAAATATCAACTCTATTGTAGGAATGAGCCCTTAAGATTCCGTTTAAGGTAGGAATGTTAGGTAAGATCATTTAGCAAATGATCATTTAGCAAAGCCTTTTATTTTTCCAGAGGATAATACTCTTGAAATGCCCTGGGGAAGCGATAATGTGTTTGCCTTTTTAATCAAATGAACATCTTTCCCTTGATCTCTGACCCATTCCAGTTAATACTGTTGCTATCAAAGGTTGAGAGTCAAAAAATTGGAGAGCATTTTTCACTCTCATATATAACTCATTTGTATTAACTTAAACTATAAGTTACTAGATCAATAGAAAGGGTATCTTGATTTAGATGAGGTCTATAAGACCCTCACTTGGATTAAATGATAAGTGGAGTGAAAAAGATCAGCTGCCTATTGGTTTCATATAGATGTTAAATAGAGGAGTCCTAGTTTTGGGAGTTGCAACTTGGGACTGGCAACTTGGTCATTAAGTGAAGCAATTGATAAGGGAAACTGCAACTCTGCTTATGATCTTTCTTTAGTTTTCCTTTGATCTGCAAACTTAACAGAGATTGTAAATGCAAGGATTGGATGTACAGCTTTTCATTGCCCTTTTAACTGCAAAAATGTTAGAGACAATTGCTAAACAAGGACTATCTGTAATATGAACAATATAATAGAATCTTGTGAACTTTCATATTATAATTGCCAATACAGTTCTTTTATTCCAATTTCCGAAGGTACTAAACAATCCAGGAGATTCAGTAGAATCACAAATTGCAGTTTGTTTTATATGAAAGCAATATCTGATCCAGAAAAATGAGGAATGGCTTACAAATAATTCAATTTACATTATTTGAGTTTAAAGCGATTTTCATATCTTGACTAACAGAAGAGAATATCAGTACTTGCGGTTAAACTGTAAAGTTCTTGGATCCAAGTTCTGAGAGCACCAGGAATTCCACATATCTTTACTATTGGGAATTCTCTGATTCAGGCATAATGCCAGTATTCAAAGATTCTACTAACTCTATATGACTAGGGTTTCTAATTATGGTTTGTTTATTTTGTTCATAGTTGCTCAAACTGTTATGGCAGTGTTCACAATTTAGGTTTAATAAACTAACAAATTAAGCTTAATAAGCTTAATAATGGCTTACCACAAAATGTGCGCTTGGCCAGTTGCAAGCTGTGATTAATATGGCCTTCTGAATTATTTCTCCTCTCACATAAAGAAGGGGAAAAATGTATGTAGATGCAGAAGGCTTATTCATCTTTTAACTTCTGTAATATCCAAATCTCAACCTAATGTTACAGATTGGATTTAAAGAAGCCTATTTAGCAGGACTAGATGTTTGGGTCCCCCAAGCAACTAACTTCTTATCCCAGTGCACTATATGAATGGTTGTTTTCCGATGTAGATTATGCAGCCTTCAGACACTGCATATAAGATGGAGACTTGTTGGTCTGCTTGGGTTTACTCATTTTGCCTTCCTTTGTCTCTCCTGTCCTCCTGTTGGCTATACCTGTATTCAGTTAGCTAAAGGTAAAACATGGGAATGTGCGTACACACACAACCTCATAATTTGGTAAGGTTATACATAAATTGTTTTTGCTGTCATATACAGTAAACGTTCTCATGATCTTCAAAAATAATACATAACTTAAATAGGTTAGCTACTCAAAATGTTTCCTGGGCAAATGCTATCATACTATACTGTTTGGAGCATAAATTAAAAAAACATGCAATTAGGATAAAGCTTTTATTAGGTTGTTCTAATTTTAAACATAGTTTATGTTTGAAAGTGATAACATTACACTTCACTTTTATCATAAAAATAGACTTGTTGGCTTTAGCCTGTTCCTTGTTAGATTACATTTCATTATTTAGTTATAATCTCTATTTTTATCAAGAATCTTCTACTTAAATATATTTATAACCAGTCAAATTTTTTGCTGAATGTTCTTACCTCCCATTCTATTAGAATAATGCAGAAATAGCTATGTACAAGGGGATCATTGCTAATATTTTGTTAGTTTTTCAACAATTACTCTTGATTTACCTGCAGGAAATTAACCTGTTCTAGTGTATTATGTAAGCCTTTAGTTTTACCTAAGTCCACAGAAAGGACCTATGTTCCAGTGCACAGAACTGATAGTTAAGAACAGGACTTCGAGTGTGTTGTCAATAAAGCTAAATGTAACTTGATCCAGACATCTGGGGAAACAGATGTCATTGCTAATGTTTGCTCTTTGTAGACTACATAAATCAGTTCAGTAAGATCAGTTCAGTAAGACTGGCTCTGTAAAGGAGAACAAATCCACTTTTTAGAAAGTACTTAAAATGTTAACATTAATTTGATTTGGAAACTAAGCATCCCTCTAAATAAGATAATCCAGTTGTCTCTTAACCTGAATATTCTTATTTTTATTGTGCTTATGAGGACAATTGGACAGCCATTATTGTTATGTGCATTGTGTTGCAGGTTCATCGGTTGGTGGTTGTGAATGAAACTGATACTATTGTTGGTATCATCTCCCTCTCTGACATCCTCCAAGCATTAGTGCTTACGCCAACAGGTATGAGTTCCACATTTAACTAGTAAGTGTTTTCTCTAGTAACATGACAAATATTTTATATTGATTTTTATCTTTATAACAAGTCGTGAAACATAGGCAGACTATGAAAGGACTCTACATTGAACTTTACGACAACGAATAAGGATATTTTTATGCATGCACCTCTCAAATGTAGCAATAATTCATTTAAAATTAGCATATTCTTTAGATATAATCCTCCAACTTTAAAAAAATCATTAAAACTTGGTTGCTCCAAAGGTGGTTTTTCAAGAGGCAACAGGACTTAATTGTTTTTCTTTATAGACGTTTTGCTTCTCATCCAAGAAGCTTCTTCAATTCTGACTTGGATGGCAGGGAATGGAAGGATTTATATTCCTTGCAGACAGCTGGTCATTTGCATGGGGGAGAAAACATCCTGCAGAAAACACAGCTCCAACTTCTCAACATTTTCTGCAAACGACCAGCTGTCTGCAAGGAATATAAATTCTTCCATTCCCCACCATCCAGCCAGAGCTGAAGAAGCTTCTTGGATGAGAAACTAAATATCTTCAAAGAAAGCAAATAAGTCCAGTTGCCTCTTGAAAAAGCACCTTTGGAACAACCGTGACCTGGATGACTGACAATCTCCATAAATTGTAATACTTGGTCCACATGCAGTTATAAAAATAAGAATCTCATTTCCAATTTCTAATTGGCTAAGCAGATTGTTCTAGCTTTAGAATCCAGGGATCCTCCAGTGGTTAAGACGCCAGGCTAGATACCAGGTGAGTCTAGTCCCGCCTTAGGCATGAAACCAACTGGATGACTCTCTCAGTCCAGCTCACCTTACAGGGCTGCTGTGGGGAGGAATAAGTATTAGGTAAGTTTATTTTTATTTATTTAGTTTATATGCCACCCACTTCACAGTTGAACGAACTTGATGTTTGAGTTATTTATAAAAATAATAAAGTAGGATTTAAAAAATTAAAAAATAATACCATGGGTGAGTATGTTTTTACATTCAGTATATACACTGAACTTTCTTAAACACAAATTATTATTGTTCAGTACATTTTACATTTATAGAGTACTGATTCAGTCTCAACAGAAAAGTTTAAAATAAATGAAAGACATTAATATATTAGCTGCACTAGAAGTTAGTTATACTTGAAGTTTAAAAGGATATTGTAAACTATACTAGAAATATTCCAGTTGATCTAAATATGCATAAAAAGTTTTTTTGGGGGGGCAGAATACATAAGTATTGAAGTAAATTATGAAGTTGGAAGTGAATGTGATCCATTATAGGCATATACAGAGACCTGGCATATTCAGTGCATTCAGAAAGTATTCAGACCCCCTTCATTTTTGTCAATTTTGTTATGCTGCAGCCTGATTCTACATGTTGAAATTCATTTATTTTTCTCATTAATCTATACTCAATACCCCATAATGACAAAGTGAAAACAGAATTTTAGAAATCTCTATCAATTGGGTTCTTGGTCACCTCTCTTACTAAGGCTCTTCTCCCCCGATTGCTCAGTTTGATCAGGTGACCAGCTCTTAGAAGAGTCCTGGTTGTGCCAAACTTCTTCCATTTGAGAATTACGGAAGCCACTGTGCTCGTAGGAACCTTCAGTGCAGAAAAAATTTATTGTAACTTTCCCCAGATCTATGCCTTGAAATAATCCTGTCTCTGAGCTCTGCAGTCAGTTCCTTTGATCTCATAGCTTTTGCTCTGCTACAGCACGGGTGTCAAACTCGCCGCGTCACATGACGTGTCATGACTTTTTTCACATTGCCAGAACTGGGGTGGGCGTGGCCTCTGCATGATGCAACTGACCCGTGGGCGGCAGTTTGACACCGCTCTGCTACAGTATGCATTGTCAGCTGTGAGGCCTTCTATGGAGAGGTGTGTGCCTTTCCAAATCATATCCAATCCATTTAATTTACCAGAGGTGGATTCCAATCAAGGTGTACAAACATGTCAAGCGATTCAAGGGAAATGGGAGGCACCTGAGCTAAATTTTAAGTGTTATTGCAATGGGTCTAAATACTTATGCCAATGTGGTATTTTTCTTTTTAATAAATTTACAGACATTTCTAAAATTCTGTTTTCACTTAGTTCTTATGGGGTACTGAATGTAGATTAATGAATTTCAACAACTGTAGATTCAGGGTACAGCGTTAACAAAATTGACAAAAGTGAAGAGGGTTTGAATATTTTCTGAATGCACTGTATATAAGCCTTTATATAGAAGAAGCAAAGTGTGAGTAGCACTGGGCTAAACTAGACAGTGCTGGGCCCAATCCATCTGTGCAGAGATCATTATCCCTGTGATGTAAGCATGGCATTATCTTCAAATGAGCTCCTCAGATTTTGACAGCTCACTGTATTTCTTACACAGACTAGTATGAGTCACTAAGTAATTTCATGAAGTACAATAGGAATAGAAAAGAGAGGAAATAATCCTAACACAGATAATACACTGCAAGAGAAATGTATTTGAAGGGAAACCATGAAAAAGCAAGCTGTAAGGGGGAAAATACACACTTGTTGTACAGAAGAGCCAGCGATGCATCTATTTGCTATTTATTAACAGGCGCCCGGCCAAAGGAGAGTGGAACTGAATGACTGCTTTGAACAGAACTACCTTGGAAAGAAGAATTCAAATATAGTGGCTGGGTCATCTTTGCCTCAAGAACATTGATGGCAGTAGAGAAGAGTCAAGAGATGATGAGAATGTGTGTGTATTAGGCTAAGTGATGGATAGTCTATTATTTCCCAGTGACTGTCGCAAAACAAGCAGCATGACAAAAAGCTTCTGTATTCAATGCAGGCTTGCATTTCAACATGTTTGCCAAAAGATTTCACTTGATGTCCATCTCAAATGCACTGAAAAAGAATAGCATTTAATGTTATGTTTTAATCTGATGCAAGTCACTGGTCAGCAACAGATCTCCGACATAAGGCAAGTGTATGGCATATTCATATCAGAGTGCCTTATGTCAAAAAGCCAACAATATGTCATCACTGTTGCCCATAGTAAAAGAACGTGTGAAACAAGATACTATTTGAACATTCAAGTCGCTAAGCCTAAAACCAAATCAATTTCAGTTATCGTTAGATTTGTTCTAAAAGCTGTAATTTAAATATCAGTAGATTACTTTAAACTTTAATTACAACTGTGTGTTTCTAAATGTTACATTCTGAACAGAGATCGTAAAACAAAACTGATTAAAAGCAGCTTTATTTATTTTTATTTCTGCAATTTTTACACATCTTTGGTGGATAGTTAAACTTCACCACATTCATTAATAAAGCATTGATTCATATATAAGAAGCAAATTTCTTATTACTGAAACAGGTGATAGAAGCCATCTTTACAGATGCATTACACAAAAGGTTGAGAAATTGTTTATTAAATGTATTGCCATGCAACATCTTTGTCCACAAAAGAGAAATCATATAGTGGTAACATAAATGAATGAAGTATGTTGAATTTAAATGGCCAGAAGGTAAGAATATAGTGCTAGAAATCTGTCTACTACTAAAACTCTTTCCTATAAGCTTTAACTGGGTGAAATGATGCATCATATGACAACAATTTTTGAATCAAGGTGCCTCAAATAGTCTAACTCAAATAGTCTAAGTGTGGAAAATCTGGGGTCCATGACTCCTGAGGAAGTGAGATTAGAAGTTGTGGCTTTTTCAGCTCTGGTCACAGGATGCTCATTTTGAACAGTTCTATCAAATCTATAACAGTTTCTCAGCTACTTTAATATTCCCAATGGTTTAAAAAAATAGAAAATTTGAAGTCCAAAACACATGGAAGCACAATTTACCTGCGGAAATAGTTCATAATTTTTTAAAAATTATCAGCACTATTGGCTTTTTCTAAAATATTAAATGAGGGAAATTTGACATTGCCTAACTGCATATTGTTAAAAACCTCTTGAAAGGCAGGCAGATTTCAGAAGAGTTGCTCGGCTTTTAGATTAACTTTTAAAATTATACAGACTAAATATGTATACGGATGGAAGAAGACAATCTGGAAAAAGCACCCATCTGCCCTGTTTGACCATGCTCTTTAAATAAAAGCAGAATTCAAACTGAGGTGTGCAGATGTACACAGTTTGCTGGCGAGAACATTTTATTCCACAATGTAATCTTTTTCATAGGAGAATTCTTCAAGCTCATTTGCACTTGCCCAACTCCAACATGCTTTTCTCAGGGTATGATGAGCTGAAGCGAGCACAGCATTCAACTTGTCAACTAGTCTGTTTCTGCTCCTTTCCTCATGACACCAATCATTTGCCATTGCTTTTTTCTCCAGCAAGCATCACTTTCTTGGTCATTCAGCATTAACTCAGCAAATATGTGCGTAACTTTTTTTTCTTACTGTTAACTGTTTTTGCCATTTTTATGCCCATTCTAGGCAGATCCTTCAATGCAGATCTCTTCAATCTCTCCTTTAAAAAAAATAGTACCTTGGTTTCAGTATAAACAGAATGCCTAAAATTTTTAGGCTGATGTCTTTCAAATTTATCCTCTATTATATGATTGGGTTCTTTCAAACATTATATAAATAATCTGGCAAGTACTAAAAATCTAACATTCTATACTATGCTGCAGTATTTCTCAACCTTGATAATTTTCACATGTGTGGGTTCAGTTCCCAGAGTTCTTTGGGAGGATGACTAGGGAATTCTGGTAGTTGAAGTCCACATATCTTAAAAATCGCCAATATTGAGAAATTTGAATTTACAATTAAGTAGAAACCAATCCCAGCAAGCAATTCAAACATGACTGTATTTTCAGCACATGAATGGTTCATTCATTGAATCAAGACTGAAAATATGTTTTTTATCAACAGAGCCTACATTTGTTCTCCCCCTGGTGTGTACGATCAAGATACAATACACACCCGCATGCAGTAAAGAGAAAGGCTGTAAAACTACCATTATTAAAAGAAACATGAGAAGCAGGGTCGGTTTATGAAGGGGTCGCAGCCAGATTAAAATTCCCGGTTTGCTGAATGTCTGCCTGCCAGCTGCATTCTGCTTACTCTGCATCGCACCCACTCCGGCTTCAGCTGCTAACTGAGCATGCGCCTGGTTTTTAATTTCTTTATTTAAAATAGTTGGAACTTGCTGAGCAGAGTATGCAACTCGCCGAGCAGAAAACCCAGTGCGATGGTCGCCGAGGGAAGAAAAACAGCTGCGTCCTTCTCCCGCATGCAGACCTTTGCAAGCCGGATCAAGGGGAGTCCCCTCCGTTCCTCAGTATCTTGAGACCTGGAGGCCAGAAGTCTCGACGCTGGGTGCACGTGGAACCACCGCTAGATGGCAATAAAGCGGTTCGGAAACAAACCTGCGGCTGTGGGCGAGAGAAAAGTATGTGCGTACACGTGGAGGAAGAAAATAGAGAAAAGTAGGCTGCTTACAGAGATTGGGTGTAAAGGAAGAGACATACGTGTAGCCACGTTCTCACTTCTGTTATTTATTTTTTTTTTGTCCAATGTTTCTCAGCTTGACGGATTGAAGATACCTGAATAAACTCCCAGAGTTCCCCAGCCGTAGCAGGCTGGTTGGGAGTTTCTGGGAATTGAAGTCCCCATATCTTAACATTACTACAGTTGAGAAACACTGATCTAAAGGTAAACAAGTATATTACCCAGCACAGCATATCGCAAATCACATTGCTTCAACTATTTCTACATGAAGATCAAAATCTACAAGTTGGTGCTTTGTTGTCATCCAGGAACTGGCCCTTTTTACATTGATCTTGCAAATTTTGACCCCGTTTTTCAGAGTTGATTTGATCTGTCCCTGGAGCTTTGATCTAATCAGCTGGAATTTCTACAGCTCTACAGATGTTGTAATTTTCCAGGGTTGTGAACTCTTAAATTCCATTCCAGGATCTCTATAGGTTATGGCCAAGATGGTGACCACAATGGTGCAATCAAAGCTGCTCCCATTTTTACATGCATTTTTTTAATCCGCGTGTGCAGAGCTTTGATTGCACTATTGTGACTGACGTCTTGATTTTTTTTTTTTGACTGTGTCTTCTAGGCACTCCTACTCTTTGCCCACAATTCTTTCTCCACTGCCCTCAAAGATGTGCAACAACCTCTTCATGCAGCTTGCCTCTTTCTGTATGCATTGATTGGAATATATTCCCAACCTCTGTAGCCCATGTGTCACAGCAATAGGAACTAGGATCTCTGCTATTGGAGAAAGCCCCTCATTGCTCACAGAAACTTGCAAATGGCCCTTTATTTTTTACCAGAAGACAATACCAACTGCTGTTATATTCACTTGATCCACCAGGACCAGAAGGCAGGGTATGTTCCGGATCCCATCGATTAGGGATTTATGTCTGATGGGACTGCAAAAATGGACCTTCTGGGTGATGACCCTTTCCCTATGAAAGATCATTCCACCTGAGGAACAGTTGGCTCCCACTGTGTTTGTTTGCTTGTTTATTTTACCACAGGGTAACTGGGGAACTTACAATATTGAAAAGATAAAGCTATACAAATAAAAATACTATAAATGTGTAATACTAAATGTTGCTTTTCCAAAAGGCCCTAAAATGTACTTTGGTCAGCAGTATGAGAGACCATATCTAGAGATATCTGGTTGATTTAATTATGTGGCTGCAATTTTTAACAGGCTTTTATATTGTGATTTTTAATGTTATTTGGAGTCATTTATGTGTGAGCTATTTGGAGTCAGTTGGATGGCCATATAAATTAGTTTAATTTACCTGATTAGATATTGCAATACCTTGAAGTGGGAGTAGGAGATGACCAGGCTGAATCCCAGGGCAGGGTCAAATTTATCATTCTGGAGCCTCTATGCCCCTGAAAGAGACCTATGTCCAGCCACTCCTGAATTTTTTTGACTCTTATCTGGCGCCAATTTGCTTTGACTGTTAGTAGATTAGATTCTCGTGTATAGTTGTATGGAATAAACTCGCAGAGCTTTTGAACTCTACCCTGGTTCCTGGTTTCTTGTATCTGTCAGTGGATCCATGAATGACATTGGTTGGTCTCTGCACCTCTATACATAGATGACTCATTCTCCATTATTTTGTCCACATTGTTCCAGCCTCTGGACATTTAACCGCTTTCCAGACAAAAGAAACTGAAGCATTTAAAAAGAACTGTTCCTGGGAGGCAGTCTGAGAAGTTATAAGCAGTCTAGCCTTTTTCAGATTTTCTTTGCATCTGCCGTAAAGTCAACACACTAGAGTTACCAGTCTCTGCTTTCCTGACATCGTCACTATAGTACAATCCAAGTGACATTTTGAAGCAGCCTTACTTCACAGGAAACGGAGAACAATTTACAGTGCATTGATTTTGAACAAATGTTTCTTTATCCACCCCACCCCCCTTCTTCTGACATTTTGCTCAGAATGCTGTTTGCTTAAAGGCTGGCCAAGAAAGAACGTGTGTGTTTTCACTGCAGTGTGCTGTTACAAGGGCACAAAATGCACGTGTGTGTGTGTGTGTGTGTGTGTGTTCAGGGAACAGAACCTTAAGAGCACTTGAGGGATGCACCTAACCCTCTTCTTTCACCTGGGATTGCAAGCTCAGAAGATGCATTTCAGCTCTCCAAAAAGAACATCTCATAATATAGGCATCTCTGAGCTTACAACCATCATTTAGTGACTGTTCAAAGTTACAGTGGCATTGGAAAAAGTGAGTTATGACTGGTCCTCACATTAACATCCATTGTAGCATCCCCATGTTCACATGATCAACATTCTGACACTAGGCAACCAGCAGTGCCCCAGGGTTATTTGCATGTTTGTCATCTGCAACCTTCCCAGCCAGCTTCCGACAAGCAAAGTCAGTGGAGGAAACCAGATTCCCTTAACAACCATATGATTCAGTTAATGACTACAATGATTCATTTTGCCTCCAGAAATCTTGGGCGCTCCATCACTGGAGTTTTTTAAGAAGAGGCTAGACAGTCACTTGTCTGAGATGGTATAGGTCCTCCTGCTTGAGCAGGGGGCTGGACTAGAAGACCTCCAAGGTCTCTTCCAGCTCTATTCTATTCTATATCTGGCTGAAGAAGTTGTTAAATATGGTGCAACTCACTTTACAATTTTGGTCCCGATTGTTTGTTGTAAATAGTCCTTACCTGTAATGGGCTCCTGTGTTTCAGTTGCCTTTTCTCCATCCAAATCTGCAAACAGAAAGCAATGCTATTCTGCTTCCTTCCCTCCAGGATTTTTTTAGAATCAATTACCTAGTCCTTAATTGTACACAACTACTAGAAGTCCTAGATTACACCAACTAGTCAGTCTTAACATCACAGAAGCTTAATGCCATAGGAAGCTTTCTTACTACTGTGTAATTGGCTTAATTCTAATAAAATTTCATAAAAAGAAAATTTTAGAGTTTGGTTTTCCAGCACAGCCTTCATACTGAAAAAGATTTTCAAATGGGAACCTTTCCAAGGTAATTGAAAACTCTGTTATCTTGATCATTTTAAAGTTTTGTGGACTTCAATTCTCAGAATTCCACAGCCAGCTCAGCAACTTTTTAAAATGAGCAAACTCTCCAAAAACTTCAACAAAGCATTTAGCTGGGAAAGTCTGAAAGTTGAAGTTCACACATCTTAAAAGTTGTCAAGGCTGAGAAATACTAGTTTAAACCGAAAATAAGGCGTAACAAAAGCCACCACTATTCATGCCCTTGTTTAGGAAACAGGCTCTTAGGGCGGCATCTTCTTTTCCCCGCGAATTCCAGCAGCCCCGCCCACCGCTCGCATTGTGAACATTTTGACAATGAGTCCTGCATGGATGCATGCACGAGCGGCACACACGGCCTTCTGTCCTCGCGCAACCCCGCCCTGCCGTCGTTCACCAATCAAAAGACAGCATCCTTCGCGACCCCGCCCTTCTCGCACCTCTGCAGCCAATAGCTGAAGCATCGGGGAGAAAATCAATAGCGAGAAGGTGGGGAGCGTGCACCCCACGAGCGCGAGGAGGAGGAAGCGTAGGAGGAGGCGGGATCCCAGCCGTTGGGCGGAGCAATCTTCCGAGAGCAATGACGCCGCGAAATTTCCAAGGCCAGCGAACGCCTCCGCTCGGCCAATAGGGGGAGCCGTCGCGCTCTTCTGCCCGCCCCCTTCCGGGGGCGTCCCCACGCTGGAGGGATCCCGGGCAGGCAAACGGGGCGTGAAAGCGCAAGTGCGCGCGCGCGGGGGCGGGGCCGAAGAGGATGGCGGTTGTCGTCACATGAACTAAAAAGCCGCCGCCGCCGCCGTCGCGTCCCTCAGACAGTCCTCACGGGAGTCCCGCGCAGGTCATCGTCGCCCGCCAGCAAAGCCTCAGCGCCGCCCGCTCTTCTTCCCTGCCCGGCCATCGCCGCCACCGCCGCCGCCGCTGCCACCACAGCCCTTGATGCAGTTGGGGGATCGGCGGGAAAAAGATGCCACCGTCCAAGTCCCGTAAGATCGCCATCCTGGGATACCGGAGCGTCGGTGAGTCCCGCCCTGTGGTGGCCGGGGTGCTCGGCGGGCTCTGTCCTCGCTTCACCTGGCGGCGGAGGGGCAGGGGGGGGGCGAGGCCTTCCCGTTCGATCCCGGCGCTGACAGGTGCCGAGGAGCACGCCGAGGAACCGGCCGGGCCTCTCCCTAGCTATCGGGAAGCGAGGGCTGTGCGACGCCCCGGCCCGAGCGAGGGTTTGCATTTCCCGCCTGGGCAGAGCCAATTCAAAGGGCCTTCTTGGGCGGGAGGCGAGCCTGGAACGAGCAGAGATGCTCCTTCGGCTCCCCCGGGAAGCGCTGCCCAGGGTCTTCGTCGCCCCACCGGCCTTCGACACGGCGCCCCAAAATCGCCTTCTGAGCAGCGGAGTTGGGACGGGGACGGGGGAGGGCAGTCAGATCGGCGGAGACGCCTCTTCTCGCCCAGTGGAGGTGGCGAAGGGCTGGTCCGCTCTCCGCGACTTTCGCCCGGTTCACAAAATCCAGCTGCTTTTTACGGCCGCCATAAAACTTTCGGCTGAATTGGGTGGGAGTCACCGGCTCTTTCCACGGGGATCGTCCAAACGGCGGGGAAAAGGTTAATGCGGGTTACGCAACCTTTTGTTTTGCTTCCTCAAATTACCACACAGGCTTTTTGTTTTGTTTTGTGTGTGTGTGTGTGTGTGTGTGTGTTGGGGTCAAGGTGGTTTGGGCTTTTTGTCCCTTTTTCCTTTCAGTAGTAAAAATGAAAGTGATGCTGTGAGCTGGATAAGGATTAAAATACTGCCTTGAGTTTTACAGAGAAATAAATGTAAACCAAAGATGACTTTAAGTTGTAATGTTCATTCAGTTCTGTAGGTGTGCTTGGAGTAAAAGTCTCCCACCTGAAAACCTTCAGGTACTAATTACAAATGCATGATGTGTTAACAGGGCATGCCACAAAAGTGAAAGTGATGCTTTAGGGAAGCTATTTCCACTTTTCCAGCACCAATCCCATGAGGAAGGCCACTTGTGCATTCTGCTTCTTGGATTAAATTTGGATAGCACTAGCTCTCTCTCTTTCTGTCTTTCTCTTTCCTTCTTCTTTCTAGTTCCCTTCTCTCCCCCCCCCTTCTATTTGTCCCCCCCTTTCCCCTCTTTTCTCTCTCTCCCCCTCTTTTTCTCTCTTTTCTTTCTGTCCTCCTCTCCCTTTCTTCTCTTTCTCCTGTACCTTTTCCAGCTTTTTATCTTTGCAAGCCGTCTGGAATGTTCTCCAAAGGGACAAGGAAGTGAAAAGTCAAGATGAAGACGATGGCCACATGTTCTAAAACCTAGTCTTTGCTGTGCAGGTTGCCTATGCTTTTATGTATATTTGTGACCTTCTCTCTTGTTCCACCACACATACTCCTTAAGTACTCTATTCCTACCACCTTCAACTTCCTTGTATGTTACTCCAGACATTCCCACAGCTCTCTTCCTGTGAGTGGCAGAATTATGCTGTGACAGCCATGTTTTCTTCTTGCCACAGGCCACCTTCTGCCTACTTTTCTTTCTATACCCATTTCTGTGACTTACATTTTCTCCCATTCCGTTGCAAATGTTTTAAGGGTATTTTGTATATTTGCCCATTCTGATATAAGACCTGCCTTGGGCAGGGGGTAGGACTAAAAGACCTCCAGCTCTATGATTCTCCCCCCCCCCTCCAATTTCATTTCTATCGCTACCTACTTGCTCAGAGTTCTGAAGTTGAATGAGGTTGTATTGTTCCTTGAATCACACAGATAAATAATGCTCTTTGTAAAGCTGTATACAACTGGAGAAATCAAGAGATCCAATTCAGGAAGCCTAGGTATTCCCATATTTACTTTCAGAATGCTAATTTTCAGATTAAGAAGCAATGAGGCACATTTTATATTCCCAATCTTTTGTAGTCTTTGTACTTCTCTAGAGTTGAAAACTGACAGGAATGGCCTCCAGCAAAAAAAATTAGGTTCCCCCTAATTCTGGCCCCCTTCTGAAAAAAAGTGAAGACTGAGCTCTTTTGGAGGACGTTGGGAGGGGGAGTATGTGTGTGAGAGAAAGAAATGTCAAATGGATGGCTCATATGTGTTTTATGTTTTCAATTTTGAGTTCTTTCTATTATCTTGCTATTGTGTTTTGTAAATACTTGAGAGTCAGCTTGCAAAAACTAAACAAAATTTTAACCAATAAACAATAAACTATAACATGCAGAGGTCCTTGAATTTCAGGACTGTTACGGTTTGATGTCTGTGTTTTGACTTTTTTCCAGGAACTTCAAGGCAACATAATTAGTTCTTCACCTCCAACCTCAGTGTTATTCCTGCAATAATCTCAAACAGTAGGTTAGGCTGGAAGAGAGTAACTAGCACAAATTACCCAATGAATTTCCTTTCTTGCTGAATGGGAATTTGAACTTGACCCATGCCTCTAATTTCTACCAGGACTAATCTTTAGTTAGTTTTCTTCACTACCTGATGAAGAGGCAGATTAGTTCCCTTGTGTGGTGAAGAAAACTATCTGGATATTTTTAGAAAGTCAGCAGAAAGGAAGCTCAACTAGATAGAAAATTTACATTTATTCTGCAGTCCATACAATCCCCTAATTGCTGATAAACGAAGTGCAGAAGCAGAAGAAAAATTAAGAACAGTAAACTAGAACAAAGCCCTCTCAGATTATTTGATAATAAAGTGAAATTTGCTGAACATGGAATGTGAAGTTATTCCTGAGGAAAATTCCCTTTTTCTAACAGCTGAAAGCAGGCTGAAGCTTTCTTAGGAATTATAAAGAATTTGTAGTTTGTATTGTTTCTCATTTCCACTAACTGGCATAAGAAGTAAATATAGATTAAAATGTGTTCTATACATGCACAGTTTTTTCACTGGCTGTTGCATTTAAACATACAGTTGACAGAATATACTATTACTAATGTAGATTTTCTTGCATTGAAGAAATGTGATCACCTAGTTGCTATTGGTGACCACAAAGCTTTTCCTGGTAATTGCATTTGTGAATGATTTGGAAGGAAGAGCTCCTTCTTAGAATCCGGTGAGTGTGTTGATTAGATTCAGGAACAAGCTAATGATCAGCTAGAGTGGATGTTCAGTCTTATTCAGATAAATGTGTGAATTTTAAAAATATTGGTTAAGGTGTACAGAATATAAAAGACACTTATTTTAGGACTGGAAAACACTGCATAATTAAAGACTTACTATTAGAGATTTGCTGCAGACGTAGACTTATAAAACAAAGTGTGAGTGACAAGTAGTTGCCATTTCCCCATGTATTGTGCAGCATATTGTTAGGGAATTACATTTGGCTGTAATCTCTTCTGATGCTTATGCCTAGTTCAGTGTTTGGTTTGCCTACAAGTGAAATAACTGGATATTTATTGAAGTTCTCATAACATAAATAATATAGTTTTCCAGTTTTACTAAACACTGTAAACACTATAAAATGTCCCCTTATGCAACCTACCTGCATATTCCTGAGAAACAATCATTGTATTCTATCTCAGATGATTACAAGCTAAACTGAACCTGCTTTAAAGATATATTGTCTGCTTTTTTGCCCTTTAATGGCTTTAAAGAACTTTAAACATGGGAGCCATTAACATTCTTTACATATTTGTTCTGTTGTAAACAGAATGATGTTAAGGAACGAGGTGAATCAGAGAATAGATTCAAAGTCCAGCCAGGTACATAGGCTTGGACAGCAACATCTGCAATATGTACTATGGGAGGGTTGCATACTAATGTCTGAAATCAAGCAATTTCCCTGCAAACTAAAGCGAAAGTATCAAAGGTAAAGTGATTAGCAGTATCACAGTAAGCTTTATAGATGCCTTGTATGTGTCTACTATATAATGTGGAAATATAACAGGTAATTCAGTCAGAATAACTTGCCTTGTATTCATTCCAATAGTGAATTGAACATTGGATTTAGTGGCCTAAACATTTTCAAAGACATCTTTTTGGCATTTCTCTTCCATTTCTATAAATTTTCTTGTAGCATGTATATTTTTCAATAGGAGGTTGACTCCCAAAAACTGAAGGAAATTTATGCAAGAATTACTTGTAAAGTCAAGCTGTATTTTTTTATTATTTGTTAAAAGCAGATAAGTAACTTCAACACATTCATACCCTGCCAAAAAGTACAGATTTTCTCTTTGAGGTAGATTTAGTTGTTTTATTAATATCTGCAAAATTATTAATAAGTCCTACTGTATACAGTTCTGAAACAGTATATATGTTGTTAGAAACAAGGCACTTGAGTTGTTATAAAAGAGTCATTATTCTAGTGTTCCTTTTCTTAGCAAATTGTGATGGGAATGTGGGGAACCAGTGGTTAAGTAGTTTGAGACTCTGTTAAGTGCTCTTTGAATGACCAATCAGCATTTTCCAGCTCACTCTACCTCAAAAGTTTCTCATAGGGATAAAGTGAGGGGAAGATCTCTTTGTGTTCTCTTTCAGTTCTACAGGAATGGTCGATAAAAATGTAATACAGTACAGTAATAAGAATCAAAAGGATACAGTCTCAGCGAAACAATGGGCAATTCCTGCTATACTGTGACAATACTTAC